CCAAATAGGCGCGACGTACTATAACTGTTCTTTTTTCTGATTAAATGTAATACAAAAATTATATTTTAGGTTCATTACTGGTTATTTTTGCATTCCTAGTGTATTTGGCTTCGGTGGCCTGAGTTGTGTTGGCTTCGTTGTTTTCAAAATTGGTCGCAGTGAAACTCCTAACTACCTTGCCTAAACGTATCTGCAAACTATTGACAAAATTTTTATAATCTAAAGGACTGAAAGACTGCCAGAATATTTTTGGTGAGAACAAATTAAAAAGGTGCTTCTTCAACCTTAGGCATATTGAAAGCGCGTACACGGTCAAAAATTTGGGTTTAATTTTTAAACCGCGCTGGGACTACTGCCTTTTTTAAACTTTTATAGTCTACTTTTTAAACCAGTCAATAGTTTTGCGCAATTTTTAATATATTCTGGTTTAAATTTTAGCCCAAAAAGTTCGTGGTTTAAAAATCAAACCAAAATGTTTTAATTCTAGTTTCTAGGTTTCATTTATAGAAAATTTGGTTTAAAATCTAAACCGAAATAGAATATGTTTGCACAGCGAATTGTGGTGTTGATTCAAACTCAACATATGAAAGCACATTTACATGCGTGGCTGTAGCTGAGTGTGCAAAGATGCTAGGATACAATTGGTTGCTGCTACCAAGGCTGTCCGGGTTCAATCCCAACCAGACGGAGCATGAAATTTAAGATTGTTTTTTTTTTTTATTCTTAATTATGAAAATGTTTGGGTTTAACATTTAAACCGGAATGTTTAAATTCTAAACCCAACATATGTGCTCTCTTTTTTATAAACTTGGAAGGTTTGTATTTGAAACTGAATTTAGTTTGGTCATATATGTAGTCCAAAAAGTTTAAAATTAAAACCGAAATTTTTAACCGTGTAGAAAAAAGATATTTTCATATCTATATGGCTTGTTAGCCATACCCAAGATGTTCTAAAGATTAAAAGTAAGAGGTTAAAATTTTGATGAAAATTTGTTGAATTTTCCTAAGTTTTGTATAAAGTTTGAAACTGTGATTGATATGTTTTTGTTTAAAGCTTGGGCGGTATTTTTTTTTTAGAAAAATAACAACTCATTACGACTATTTTAAAGGAATCAACACGTGGTCATTTGTTTGAGTCACTGAATGTTTGTGTGCATTACATGATTTTTTGATTATTGATAATAATAAAAAGCAAAGGTATGAAACCAAATAGCATTTTTTTAAGTTTTTTCTAGCTTGTCCTTTGATACTTGAAAAAAATATATATATAGTGATAAACTTGATCCACTTTTTGTTGTTTTTTTTTAAGATAAATTTTTTCATGATGTCACGACAACACTGATTGTAAATTTGCACACATTAAGAGAGGAAACTGGTTATCCCCTTAATAGGCGTAAATTTAAACAAAAACTTTCAAGACTATAGGGTCCTAATTTCCTATTCTTGGAGCCACTCCAACTTATTTGGTTTACAGTAGATATTTGTAATCGCATGATAGAGAAAATAACACAGGCTGACAAGGTTTCGGCACCAGAAACCTGTGGGAATCAGTGATCGGACTTGAGAAAAAATTTGTGTGGTAGAATCTGGAAAAAAATGTGGTAGATTTCAAAAAAATGTGGGAGATCTTAGGTTTGGGATCAAACTTTGTACAAAAATTAAAAATATTCTGCAAGGTTTCACCTAAATTGCCAACATTTTAATTAGAATCTAAAAAAAATAATTTTAGTATAATAAAGTGCAAGATTTAAGTTGCTAAAAATTCTGTTTAGTTTTGGCAATTTTTTCCTTGACAGTGCAAAGCAGTTCCTTCCATATCAAGATATTTTTCGAACATATTTTGAAAGATTTCTGCAACCTTGCGGAGTGCAGTCTGCTTTTCTTTTTATCACATCACGATGTAGCGAACAAATGTGGCACGTTCCAGAAACCGCTACTTGGGATTTGCCGATTTTGACAATTCTCAAGTAAAAGTAAACAACGCTTTAGAAACATTAGATGTACTGAAATTTTCTAATACTTTCACAAAAATCTGAGTTTTTTTTACATTTTTGCTATTAATTCTTTTTTATAAATCATATATTTGCAGTTCAACACAATAAAACCATGTTTCCTATCGAAAATTCGAATATTGAGAAAATTTACTATTTTAAGGTTTATTTTATCCTCCCATTCTGCCTGTTGTTAGAGTTTAGTGTTGGATAATTATTGCTCTTAAAATTAAGAAAATTATGTCGAGCAAAAAGAAAACTACTCAAAAACGCGAATTGTGGTAGATTTCAGACCTTGTGTGGTAGATGCTCAAAAAAGTGGCAGATCTACCACAATGTGGTAGAAGTCCGATCACTGGTGGGAATAAACTTTTCCGAAAGTAATCAGTACACTAAATTTGAATCTGCACTCAGAAATTCAGTGCTGTCTTTGGTTTAAAATATATTCTAACAAAATAAATACAAAAGTAGATGTTCCCAAAGCCATTGACGGTCCCTAAAATATAAATGATATTTTAACAAACTCAACGGCATTTTGAAGTGCAAGGTATATTTTATACCAAAGCGAGCACTGAATTTCTGAGTGCAGATTCGAATTTAGCGCACCGAACACCCTCAGAAAAGTTTATACAGGTTTCTGGTTCTGTGATTTGGCCAAATTCTGTCGGCGTCTTCTAAATACCGTAGGGATGAAGGATAATCTGGAGACGTGGCGCCCTGGAATGAACTCTTTAAAGTATTAAAAGTTGACGTCAGCACTTGACGATATATTGTATTAGCCGAATATCATTGATGTCTCTGAGAGCAAACATTTAGTTAGAAAATTTTAGCCTTTTTAAAATATATATTATTAAGCTTTGTACCTCGATCTGTTTGTTAGAAAAAATGGAAAAAGCAATAAAGTTTAAGCGGAAGAAGTTATAGCTGCTATTTCGCAGGCGAACACATCTCCTCATCACACTTCTTTTACTAGACTTCGGCAGAAATCAAATGCACAGTCCACATGACAAAATTAGTTCTACATGGCTTCAGAAACAGAGGTCGAAAGTGTTTTTATACTCGAGAGGAAATTATAAAAGAACAACAATTAAAAACAAAAAAACTCTATGCGTTCTGTCATATTTCCAACACTTCGAAAAAGACTGGGCTGAAAGCCAATTAAATCGAGTTTACGGATGAGTAACGAGTGACAAAAGTTTTACTGAAATCAGTATATATTACGTCGGTATGGGCGTTTTCACTAAAACCGTTTAGAAAACCCATGCTGAGTTTGTGAATTTGAAGAAGATAAAAAATAAGATATGTCAGTTGATTAACAATAATTGCTTCAAATAATTTTGGAATAGCGGAGAGTTTCGCTATGCCTAAAGATTCCTTCCAGCCTGACGCCTTGTTTTAGTGGCAAGTTAAATATAGTTGTTAAAGACTCGCATAGGTTCTCAGCGCAGTTTTCTTTTTAGGAAACAGGTGGGAATATGACCAGGTCCAGACCTAAATTACGCTTTTAAGGTTTTTAACTATTTAGTGTAAAACTTCATCGGAAGATATTACAGGAATATAAGTTGACTTAATCGGACAATGTTCATACAGATAGTCTCCACTTGTAGGGGAGTCTATAGAATAATTGGACCTAATAAACTGGGCAACCATGTTGGCAATGAGTTTGCTGTCGTTAGACACAGTGTTGCGATACTTCTTAGCGGACGTAAAACCATGTACCTTACGCTTGGAATTTACGAAACCATTAAATTATTTAGGGCTGTTAATTAAATTCTTTTTAATTTTACACAAAAATGACTATGAAATGTTGTATTTTTATTTAATACAAAGTAGCTATGCCGCAAAACTGAGTACCTTACGTAATCATTTCAGGCCCTTTCTTTTATAGAGTTTAAAAGAAAGTGATTTTTATTAAAAAAATTTTAAAAACCATAACTGATCCATCATGTACAATATCACGTTTTGGTACATACTTTTGAAAAAACTTTAAAGCCAGCATTTCAGGGTACCATTTTGAGTGTATAGATATAGGGAAAACTTGAAAGTTAAGAGGACTACCTGGCTACGCCCATGCCGGGATGGTACGCATCTTCTGACAAAGCCAGGGGCTCAAACCGATTCATAGAGGACTTAAGAACATCATCAACGAAAAGAAGATCCAAGACCTTTCCAAACTTATTTGGACATACATTTATTTGTTTTGGGCAAAGTTCAGCCATATCCAGAAATACATACATCGTACCATTCTCTAGATGGAACGGGTAGAACATCGGTGTCAATAATATTGCATGAAATGTGTGGCAGATTAATATCACCCAAAACAATTATGGAATCGGAAGGCGTAAGAATTGCCTTTACGGCCTCGAGTAAAGAAACAACCTGTGTTGTATATTTATACTGGTATGACATAATTACCGCTGAAACACAATGCTGACAAACGGCGCATACAACCAAAGCAAACGACGACGTTCGTCCGACGACTGTACGCAACGATAGACTTAGGGTCTGATTATGCATACTTCGCATAACTTCGCACAACCGTTTGTACCAGTGCACTAAAAGTGTAACTTAAGAAAATGTGAAGCAAAATCTAAACTCAACAGATCGCTAAGTTTTTAAAAGTACTGCTAATTTCTAGGTAATGGAATACATACAAAGTAGATACGAAGTTACAGCCTAATCATGTATCTCGAAGCGAACGTTCGTTTCGTCTGCCAGACGTTTCTTTCGTGTGTTGGTAGTATGTAAGTCGAAATCGTCTGGCAGCACGAAAACAGCTGATCGTTACGTAGTTTTCGTCTAGTTTGGAATTTTTTAAGGCGAATAGAAGACGAAAGTGAGACGACAATCGTTGAAAACAGACGAAAGGTTATTAGTGATCGTTAAGATGGAGGGTTCTGCCAGGAAAAGTAAGAAAATAAAAAATATAACTTGGTTTAAGGAAATATATTAATATTTATGCTTGTAGCGCTGAAAAAAACTACAACCACCCAATTTGAGGTACTTGTAAAAGAAATGGAGAGAAATCCTGACCTGGCCAGAGGTGTTGCAGTGTTTGGATCTGATCGAGGAAGGGTAGAGGAGCGGTGGGAGGAAATTATGAGGAAAATTAATTCTCATGGTCCTCCTACAAGAACGGCCGTCGAATGGAAGAAAGTAAGCATAAGTGCATAAATTGTATGTGGTAGATAAATGCTTGCGCACTATTTCCATTTTACTGACATTGAATTTTATTTTATTTTTATTTTTCAAGATATGGGCTGACTTGAAAAGCCGGACAAAAAAGAAGATTGCCGAAAACAAACGAAGCCTTACTGCTACCGGTGTTGGCCCATTCCGTCACTCTCCGCTTTCCGAAATGGAGCAGGCCATAGACAGCCTGGTTTTTATTTCGAGGTCAGCAGCCCCGAGCGGCAGAGTTTTCGGCATTCCTTCGACGGCGACCTCTAACATGTCAAGACATTCGTCGTTGGAGGAAATGCCTCCTTTACTTGTGACTGAATCGCCAACACTTGACCAACGAAGGCAACAGACAACCACCCTTCAATCTCCTATAAGGCACAACCAACCACCACCAGTGGGAGTAGTAACTCCCACTACACAGACAACCCGTCCTACACCAACGGACACGTTACGTTCCACTAATAGGAAGCGCACCTTCCAAGAGACAGTGGCTGAATCTGCCAAAGTCCAAGCAGAAGCCGCTAAAGTGCAGGCTGAGGCTGCAAAAAAATGGCAGAGGCATCAATGCTGCAGGTGGATGCCACAAACAAATTAACTGCTGCAGTGGAACGCCAATCTGAAATTTTTGAAAAATTTTTGGAGTACTTCCGGAATTAATTTTCATACCACTATTGTGAGAGTATTGAAGTGATATTTTGTTTTATTTTTTTTGTATAAATATTTTTTAGATTTAAGTGTGAATTGATATTTTGTTGCATTTACTTAGTTTATATGTAGATTTAGGATTTAAGACTGAAAAGATATTTTGTTGAATTTTTATGTAAATATTTTATTAATTTTAAGACAAATGAATTTTGCTGGTGTACCTGAATTCTAAACACACATACTTTATAATAAAACTGCGTTTATAACAAACTCTCTGCTATTCTCATTCTAATAAGGGCAGCAGTGTATTCGAAATATTACTGTTTTCCAGTTCTTCTTCGTAACTAACAAGATTCTCCATATCTGGGCTCTCGAATGGAATTTGATGTTTGAAAAATATACAAACGTTATGAATAGCACAGCACACATTTACAATTTGTGTAACTTTTTCTGGTGAATAGTGTAGCCCTTTCGAGCCAATTATACATCGAAATCGGTTTTTCAAAACACCGAAACATCTCTCAATTACATTACGAGCTTTCGAGTGCTTTGTGTTGTAAATTCGTTGAATTTCATCAGCTGCGCTTCTGAATGGCGTCATCAAGTATGGCTGCAAGGGGTAACCAAAATCACCTACAAAAATTTTCATTGTCAGTAATAGTTTTATAGCCTTTTTAAGTTTTAAAACTTACCGAGTAGCCATGTGTTGGTTTTTCCATTGTTATAATCAGATTTTAGCTCCTGTTCTGCGTGACTCACATTCCAAACAAATGAATCATGATTCGCCCCTGGATGCCTAGCGTCAACAAATGTGATTACCATGTTGTGATCGCATATCTGTAAGGAAACTCAGTTTGTGTATATGTATACTTGTAAAGATAGTAAATCATTAACCTACCGCCATTACATTAATACTGTAAAAACCCTTGCGGTGAGGTATAAATGGTGGTTGTCACTTCCTGGCGACTTAATTCGAACGTGTGTTCCATCAACACAACCAATAACCCCAGGTATTCCGTATTTCTCAAAGAAATATTCTTTAACTGCATTTTCCTCATCGATGTTTCTCCTAAAATTCACCCATTTCTGGCAAAAATGGTCCTCAAAAATATTTAGGCATTCTCTGATCACGTTTGCAGCAGTTGACTGCCCCATCGACGAAATATTTTCGTTACCAACAGATTTTTGGTAACTGCCGGTGGCGAGAAATCTTAAAAAAGTCGCGAGTTTTAGCTGGTGCGATAGGTGGGTGCTTCTATGTGATGGAGCCATGTGCTCTTTTAATTCGTTTAATATGTATTGGAATATTTCTTTATTGATTCGGAAATTTGCAACAAATCTAGAAACGAATACATTGTAGCATACAAAAATTATTCGCTAATCTTGAACTTACTCAGTCTCAGGAAGTTCCATTACATTGGTGTGGTCTCGCAATCTCCTCCTCTGTATCCGCCTTTCCCTTTCTACGGATTCCTCGGCGTCCATTAGCGCTATAGCAGCATACATTTTTAAAAATTAATTTTCCTTATATTTCTTTCCGCAACACAACCAAAAAACTTTTAAGCAAAACCAAAATCTAAACAATTCCGATGTTGCCCATTTAAAATAAAAAGCATTGAAATAAGCTGAAAATATTAGAAATCTAAGAAAAACTCTTTGGAAGTACATCAAAATTTCATCCGGCGACATCATACAACGTAACCGAGACGATTGCAACGTAATCGACGTAAAGACAAGACGAAGACGAACGACAGAGTTACAAAATTGCAATCCGTGACGATATCGCCTACAGACGAATCGTTCGTGCGGCCTATGGTTCGAGATACATAATAAGGCTGTTACAGTTTGAAGTTTATGCGAAGTTGTGCGAAGTTATGCGAAGTATGCATAATCAGACCCTTATTTCTATCGTCGCCGCTGGCGGTAGCGCTAAAATACGATCCATATGCTAAATATTCTCAAATTTTTAAATCGAAATTGAAAAATGCTGTATTAGTTTTTGTAAAAAATTAATCATCTTATTGTTTGTAAAAATTTTAATTTTACCTTGTCATAAGCAGCTGAATTCGAGCGAAATTTTTGGGCGAAAGTTGCCGCCGTCGTCGCACTAATGTGCGAAAATTCGCCGTTCGTCGGTACTGTGTTTCAACGGTTAGGAGGGATGTAGCAAAGAGCTAAATAAATATAACTCTTGCCAGCCTTTACAAGTATGTATACAACTACATCTATGTTGTTGTTGTTGTTGTTGTAGCAGCATACAAATTCCCCAAAGACTTTTTGGGGAGTGTTGCTGGAGTGACAGTCCTTGGCCAGATATAAATCTGGGTCGTTCCGGTTACGTAGACCCGACTGTCGTGGGAACGCATCTACATCTATATATTAATACGCTAACATAAATTTTGTCTCCGTTCGTTTGGCGATTCTACCGAACCGATTTCAAAACCAAGACCACCGTTGGAAAGGCATTTTTCCGTAGATGAGCAGAGTTTTTATGATTTCATAATTGGTTGAAAATTACGGCCAAAACCGTCGTTTAAACATTTTCAAATTGTGTATAGATGTTGCTGCAACATGTTCAATTTGACATGTTTCGCCTGTTGTTTCACTACACATTTGAAATTAAGCTTTGAAATAAACATATATATGAAGATGAAGAAATAAATGATTACGATGAAGTCAAAAAAAAAAGAAGGCAGAAGTGAAGATAAAGGCGAAAATGGAGACAATGACAGATACATAAGAATTAGGGTAACTGAAAGGGTAAGAACATTTCTTGAATTTATGAAGTGAAACTTCTTTTGCGGCAGTTGGTTGGCTGGGAGTAAATTGTCAAAATAAAGGTGAATAATGCACATGGAAATGGTTCTCAGCGGTTTAGCGGTTTGAGAATAAAAACAAAAACAAAGATGCCTAGAGGTACAGGCAAAAACGAAGATCAAAGTAAATTTAAACACTTTAAGGTAAAGGTGAAGAGGAATATGCAAAAATAAAGATAAATATGAAGAAAAGGATGAGGATGAAGATCGATATTGTTATCGATATAAAACTCGATATTCTTATCGATATAATAATCGATATTGCTATTGACAAAATAATCGATGTTGTTATCGATACTGTTATTAATTAAATAACCGCTATTGTAATCGATATAATAATCAATATAATAATCGATATTGTTATCGATACAATAATGGATATTGTTATCGGTATAATAATCGATTAAATAATTGATTTTGTTATTGATTTAGTCATTTATATTGTTAACGATATGTACAATAATCGATACTGATGATTGTTATATTTATCGCTGAATTAATCGATTTTACAATCGTTGTATTTTTCTATATGTGTATGGATATTGTTATCGGTATTTTTATCAACACAGTTATCAACAGGGTTATCGATACACTAATCGGAACATGGAATATGATATGAAGAGACATCACATGCTATTGCATCACATAATATGATATCACATCACACGATATCACGTGACATGACATTATATGATATGACATCACATTATATGGCATGACATCACATGACTTGACATTACATGATATGACATCGTATGACATGACATGGCATTACATGACGTGGCATCACATGATATGACATCATATTGTATGACATCATATGACATGACATCAGAGGATATGACAACACATGACATGACATCCTATCACATCACATAAAATCACGTCACATCTTATCACGTCATCGCACCTCATCTCATCTACGTGAATAGAAAAAGAAAAGGATATAAGCAAAGATGTGAAAGATAAAAACAAAGATGAAGACCAAGGTAAAGTTACCGATTTCAAAACCAGAAACACCGTTGGTAGATGAGGAGAGTTTTTATAGTTTCGAAATTGGTTGAAAATCGTCGTTTAAAAATTTCCATATTTCTTAATGGTTGTTTTTGCAAGCTTTTCAATTCAAGCGTTTCGCATTTTGTTTTACTTCGTATTTGAAAATAAACTTTGAAATAAAGATAAATATGAAGATGAAGAAACAAGTGATAACGATGAAGACAAATAACGCAAAAGTGAAGATAAAGACGAAAATTGAGATAAAGGCGAAAATGGAGACAATGGAAATACATGAGAATTAGGTTAACAGAGTTTAAATTTTACGATAGGAATCGAAATTAAATCAGCCATAAAGGTTACTGAAATTGATCGAATCAGCGAAGTTTATAATTATCGAAATTACCAATGTTTACTGAGTTGTCGAAATTTATAGACACAGAAACTTAGTTGTCCTAATTTACGGATAGTTATCGAGCTAAAAAAACGTGTGGGATTAACGAAATTTGTCAAGTTAAAGAAATGTGTCAAGTTATCCGTATTTATTGAATTATCATTATTTATAGACTTAACGAAATTAATCGAGGTGTCGTAATGCGTGGAGTTCTTTCAACTTACAGATTTATCGATTATTATTGATCTACTGAAATTGGTTGGTTCAAGGAAGCTAAGTTTATGGAATTTTCAAAATATATCGATTTATCGAAATTTCAAGGTTATATAAGCTTATCAATTTATGACTGCATATCGAATTTAATCGTCTTAAAAGAGTGTAACGAGTTATCAAAATGTTTAGATAGTTTTCGAAAAATGTGGAGATGTCAAAAGTAAAAATTTATAAAGGTATCCAAAGTTTTTACATTTTCGAGTTATCGAAATTTATCGAGCCATCGAATTTCACAGTTATCGAAATTGGTCGAGTTAACGAATTTTGTTGAGTTATCGAATTTTAGTGTTCTTGCAATTCATCGAACTATTGATATGTATTAAATCATTGAAATTTATCGATAAACTTGAATGTATCG